AGAGCGCCAGACTCTTCCAAGAGCACAAGGGCCCCTCACCAGGGCTGCTGGACCCCAGAGGCTGGCTCCTGCCTTACAGGTGGGGTGTGCCACCACTAGAGGCCCCATCTTCCACCTGTAACGCACGGGTGTCACCTTCTCCGTGCAGGGCATGGGGAGTGCTGTCACCCAACACCACATCTTCTTACCTGGTGAAGTAGGTGGTAGCATCAGCCTCAGAGTCCTGCGGCCTCAGGGCGTCATAGACATACTTGAGGTCCTCGAGGTCGGAGAGCTCAGGGATGCCGCAGGACAGCATCTGTGGAGCAGGGCAGCTGTGTCAATGGGGGGGGTAACAACTGGCTAGGGGGGTTCTCTGCTCACTGGGGAGCCCGCGGGAATCATGGACATGCTCTCCCATTAGGGCTCATCCAGCATCCTCGTTCCAGAGCTGACCAGCAGAGAGGGAAGGGGCAGGTTTTTTCTACGTGAGACATATGACCCCTGACTTCGGCCTGTGTCAGTCACCTCTTGTTTATGGCTGAGGCCTGGCAGATGGGCTCCCTGTGTTAAGCCAGTCATTGCCACTCTTCAGATAGACTGGGCAAGCACCTGAGGGGCACCAGCACCCAGCACTCTAACCCCAGCGCTGAACATCCAGCTTCCCAGCACACAGGGCTGTGACAGCCAGAGCCCCTAAGGCAAGGGGTACTGCAGATGCAGAGGGAGAAGGGGCCAGGAGGCACCTCAAGGCCTCGCTATCCTTTGGCAGAGACTAGGGACACCCCATGGAGCCTCTGGCTGCAGGGGCCAGGCAGAAAGGAGGTCCAGTAAACCCCTGCCAAAGGTATCTCACCAGGCCCAGCAGGTTGAGGAAGAGGTGGGTGTGCTTGCGGATGAGGTTATATGCCTGGCAGCAGAGGTCAACGAAGTCGTGGAAGCGGCTGGAGGGCTTGTCACCACCGTTGATGACATAGGCCATGTCCGAGGTGAAGACAAACGGGGCCCGGTCCCTGCACCAGAGAGGGAGACATCAAGGCAGGCCCTGCCTTAGCATAGGGATTGGATCCCTGGGGAAACAGGCAATGGAGGGGGATCGAGCCAGGGGGGCAGACAGCTTCACCATGTACGCTACTGTGGCTGAGAACAGCCAAGCTCCCTTACAGCCGCTCCGGCCTCAAAGCACTGGGTAGATGATACCGCAGCAGCAGCCCCCAACATAACAGCTGCAGGGAGAGGAAGCTGGGGCCAAGCCCTGCTCTAGCCAGCATGGTGAGCATGAGAGTGGCTAGGCAAGGCAGGCAGAGATCCCGGCCCCGGTGGATGACACCCACCTCTTAATGTTGCCGAACATCTGAGCATGGCCCAGGAACCTGCCGAAGTCGATGTGGAACATGTGGCCAGTGGTTTTGAGCATGATGTTGTCGTTGTGCCGATCGCAGATCCCCAGCACGTAGGTGGCCACACAGCAGCCGGCACATGAGTAAATGAAGTTCTCCACGGCCTGCGGGATGGAGGGGGTGGTTAGAGGCACCAGAGAGGAGCGAGTGGGAGAAAGCGTAGGAACCGCCAGCCCCTCATTCACCAGTCCACGGGGCAGAGGTGAGCACTGGGTACTGCTCAGCCTCCCAGCCCTCAGCAGCTCCTGCTTTCAGCTCTATTTCTCATGGAAGAGAAAAATCCAGCTACCCTCAGGCCGACAAATAAGCAAGTCTATGGCCAGGCACAAGTGCTGGTGGGCTAGTGAGCTCCCCACCGTGGGAGCACGGAGGCTTGATTCCCTGCCCAAAAGGTATAAACAAGGCTGGGCACTGGTGAGAGCCAGGCTCATGGTCCATCCATTTACTGCTCTTTGTGGAGAAGGCCTGCAACGGATGATACACTGGCAGCAGCATGCACTTGTGGTGCTCTGCCTCATTCCAGCCCCTGATGCCCTTGCACCAGGTGGACTGTGACAGCCTGTCTCCCTTCCAGAGCCAGCCCCCCCTGGCTCCCTACCTTCTCGTACTCATCCTCCTTGGGGTTGTGCTTCTGCAGCCAGTCTGCCAGAGGGCGATCCTTGAAGGAGCCTGTTACCCCGTGCTCCACCTGGATCTTGCGCAAGGTCTCTGCATTGGGGATCATCTCCACCATCCCTGGAAGCAGAGGCAGTAGGGGCAGAGTCAGCTACTTGGAGCTCTCTGCCTTCAGCCTCTCCAGACAAAGTCCTTCCCACCTAGGACAGTGCAGGGAGGTCCTGGCACAGGCCATCATGGCTTTAGTCTGTCACCAATTCAGGCCAAACCCTGGGCAACTCCTACAGACAGAGTCAGGCTCTGGAAATCACTCCACAAGCTCCTTCAGGGGCATCACCCTCCGAGAGCAGAGCTGTGATGCGATTCCCAGGCACACAACATAGAGAAAAGACAGTAGGACAATTGCAGTGGACGTAACTGGGGGGAGATGCACAAGGGGAAGCCAGAGCGCTCCCACATGCTTATGTCAATTTATCCTCCTCATGAGCTGGGCCAAGCAGCCACAGGTCAGGTCTGCTGTAGTCCCCTTCCTGAATAAGCACCTAGTGAGCAACCAGAAGTCCAGCAGGATGAAGGGGTTAAAGATGGCAGTGGGTCTAGGGAGGTTGTGTGTATAGCAATGACATGAAAAGAGTCCACGCTGGCAGCCTCATGTCCTGCATCTCTGGGCTCATTCTGCCTGGTTCTCATGAAAGAGCTGCACAGCTGTCCCCAGCAGATGCTTTTGCAACCTCAGCGTAGACCCCCCATTGAAGGCTGCCCCAGGAAGCGCTCTCAAAGCCTTCTTCCTGCTCATCCTGGCCCTGCAACCACCCACACACCCTCCGAGGAAGCACCTGCAGCATCTCCAGGTCAAGGATCATCACAGGCCCCATGGTGCAAGAGCACCTGATGAGGATGACGTTCATAGCTGGGCCCTGACTCACCTCGGCCGCGGCCGGTGGAGAAGCAGCGGAAGATGACCATGCGCATGTCCAACCCCTCCTGCACCCAGATCTTGTTCATGATCCGGATCATCTGCAGCGTCAGCATGTCCTGCCGCAGGTCGTCTCCACACTGCAAGTCCCAAGGTGGAAAGAGGATGGTCAGAACTGGGTGTTTCCAGGATGCCAGCAGCCCAGCGTCCCCCCGGGAGCTTGCTCCATCTGGTGCAATTCTATGCAGGCCGTTCAGAGTTGTGGGGGCCCCTGTGTGCTTGGCCCTGTCCTGCACAGCTCGCATGAACCCCAAAACTAACAAAATGCAGGAGGATCACGTCATGTCTAAGGATCTGCATATTCCAGGGAAGAGATGAGCCCCAGTAGAAGCCTAAAAGGAGTGCATGTAAGGGGATGCACACCAACTGCAAGGCCTAGGCAATGGGATGGGGAAGGCTTGTGGACCCCAACACTTGGGATGCTGAGAACTACCTCAGTCACTGCCTCAGGGTACAGGCTATAGGCAACCATGTTGTCCATGAATTAAGTGACTTAACAGGCTCATAAATGTTTGGCTTCTATGGGGAAAGCCCAATGGGTCAAGAACTGGACTCAAGTGCAGTCTGTTGGGCTGTTAATGTGGCATCCAAAGGCTGCATCAAGACAGCAGCCTCCTCGTGCTAATGGAGGCATCACTGAGGGAACTGGCCTTTGTCATGCAGCTGAGGCCTCACAGCACCACCCTTATGGAGCTGGTTCCTTCCACCAAGAGCTCTGTGCCCAGGTCCCGAGTGCCAGGCACCTGCTCTCCTTCCCCAACCGGTGTTGAAGCGGGCACCTGCTGACAGCTGTCTGATAGAGCCACCAGTGCCCCGCACCAACCTGGAGAGGCGGTGGCGGGACTCACCTTGAAGATGACACGGATGTTCTCCCCCAGGGGGTCGACATTCTGGAAGGACAGCTTCAGGGGCACGGCGTTGGAGTTGAAGTAGGAGCAGTCCTGCCCTCGGGAGGGAGAGAAGGGGGAGGAGGTCAGAGAGTCACGCTGCCAAGCGGCACAGACACCCCAGCAGGCAGGAGGGGCTGGCACCCACCAGGGTGGGTTCCTCCCTCTTTCCCCTCGCTGGGCAGGGGCTTTGGAGGGGACAGAGGGACCAGCCCCCAGTGGAAGTAGGTCTAACACAGCAGGGGCAACAGCAGCTTCCCCTAGCTCGGTCACTCACCCTGGGCACGATGCCCTTCACCAGCAAGCTGGGACTGAGCGGCAGGCGGCAGGAGCCGTTGATGTTGAAGAACTGCTTCACGTCTTCCAGCCCTTCCCGGAGGATGGCCTGCCAGAGGTAGAGGGGCGATGGGATGCAGCCAAGGGCATGAATGTCACAGCCCACCCCCTTCCCCACCAGCTCCCCTCTCCAACCCCTGGAGAGACTTTCTAGCTTGAGCACAGAAGCACTGTATGCCTGAGGACCTGCTTCGCCCAGGGACCTTGGCTGTTAGATCCAAGAAGCAGCACTAGACCGGCACTGCTGGGTTGTCTCCCAGCACAGGAGTTGGGTTGGGGGGAAAGGAGGAGCACAAGTAACTGCAATGTAGCCAGGCCCCCAAATCCATGGCCTCCAGCACCTCCTGAAGAAAGAGGCTGGGACTGGAGTGGTTGGGAGACAGAGCCCCTGCCCTGCTGCTGCCGTCTTGGAGACATCAAATGGAGCCCAGTTATGGGCTCCACATCGTGCTCTCTCACTTCAGGGAGAGGAGTCCTGTCTGCAACCCGAGCCAGCCGCCTGCCACACGCT